ATCATTTGATATATTAACAAAAATTATAATATATGTTAACTTAAATAAGTAAGCAGTTGTATAATTTTAAAACATTATATATATATATATATATATATATATATATATTCTAAAATTACTAAATTTTTAATGGAAAAGACTAAAATCGAACAATTATAATAGTTGAGGGACTAAAACTATTCAATTAAAAATTAAGGGACTAAAATCACACAATTACAATCTTTTAAGGACTAAAATTACTCAATTAAAACCTTGAGGATCAAAATTCCACAATTGCAATACTTGAGGGATCAAAAACACAATTAAGCCTATAATTTAAGATACATCTTTTTAATTCTTATATTTATAGTTTTTTTAAATCTTTTTAGTTATTGTTACTAACTTTTGTTAAAATATTTTTTTAGTCTCTATAAGTTCACTTAGTTTAACTTTTAGTTCTTATAGTTTTAATTTTTTTGTTTTTGTTTTTGTAATTATTTTTTTCAATCTTTTTTTATTTTTAGTCATTTTAGTTTAAGCTAGATTTTTTTTAGTCTCTATACTTGCAATTTTTTAAATTTTTTTAGTCCATGTTGTTACTTCTTTTGTAACGTTGTCTCTTTCGTATTGATGTAAAAGAAATATTAATTCAATTTTGTGTGTTAGATGTCAAATTTATTTTGTTGAAGTTTCTCTAAATTAGATTCCTCGACGTTTTATGTCTCTTTTGTACCTTTATTTGTGATGTCTATTGTTAAGATACTCTTTATTTTACTCTTATGAAAATCATAAACCTCTACCATGTCAAAATAGACAATACAATGTTACAAAAGAATAACAATCGAAACTAAAAAAATATATCTTAAACTATAAAAACTATAAAAAGATTAAAAAAATATAAGTATAGAGACTAAAAAATACTATTTTAAATTATAGGGATTAAAAAATAAAGTGAGTGAAAATACCTCGATTTATTTTGTTTTGACAAGTTGTAAAATTAGGGTTTAAAAAAGAATAAAATAGAAAGTGAAAAATAGAATTTAAAATATAAAAATATAAAATATGATTATGTTGATTGTAAAAGAAGAAAAATCAAGAATAAAAAACGAAAAAGAATAAAATTATCTAGCTTGGAACGGCCCGTTCTGGGCTACTAAAACACCAACTTGCTACGTCACAATATGATCAAATAATTATTTTTTAATATATAAATAATATTTAAATTAAATTACACTTTGAATTTGTAGTTTATCTCATTTTACAATTTTTATAAGATAAAAATAATAATTAAAAATAAAACTTAGTTTAAATATTATTAAATATTAATTGTTATATCATATATTGAATTTCATATCATGACTATTATAATTTTAATGATCAATAAATAAATATTTGATGAGAGAATCAAATTTATGAATTTTATAAAATTAAGGGACTAAAGTTAAGATAGTAAAAATAGAAGAAAAAAATTGCAGATTTGATATTATAAAATACTAAAAATGTAATTTAACCTTCATTTATATTGACGAAAAAAAAAGAATTTT